CCAAAATACCCTGATTTAATGGTGGGGAAATTGAAAAAATGAGATTAAACTTGATTTTTAGTTTATATTCTTGCGATTTTTTCCCGCCCTTGTAATTTATGTTAGCTTTCATTTTAGTTCGTAAAATAACCTCCTTTTGATAATGAAATAATCATGATTGACTCATTTTCTCTCATTCTTTGTCATGTTATTTAAAAGTATTTAATTTTAGTTTTATAAGGTTCTTAAAATATGAATTTAAAAGTACACGTAAGTACGTAACTAGGCGGGTGCTCTCTCTAGGGTTACTGACGGGTAACACCTAGGTTGGTCCGCCGCCAATAGTTGCTGTGAGGAGTATGGTTCGGCTTTCGAGCTCTTCGGGGCTTCATTGTTTGGAGTTTTAGTCTCAATCGTGGAGGTTTCGGCGGAAGGAGGGAGCTTCGGCGGTGGTGGTTGCTTCGACGCTTCGTCTTCGACGAAGGCTTCGAGTTTTCGGGTGAAGTTTGCTGCTAGACGATGAACACATAACAGTGATATACGGGTTGTGATTACTTGTGAATGGAAAGTTTTGTTGACAAATACAAAAACATGGTGATTGGGATGGAGGAAGAAGATCTTGATCTTGATGAGTTTGACGCGAATGACGTTCCGGTGGAGGAAAGCAGTTCGGGGTTTTTGGTAATAGGCGTACTATTGATTGACAGGAAGGTTAAATTTTCAGCCTTCAAAGATCTTTTGTCCTCGTTATGGAGATCGGGGAGAGGAATGATGATCAAAGAAGTTGGTGAGAAAAGGTACCTATTTACTTTCCATCATCGATTTGATATGAATCGTGTGCTTGGAGGAGGTCCTTGACAGTTTGAGCGTAATCTTTTAATGTTAAAAGAAGTTAAACCCGATGATATTCCACACAAGATTGTTTTAAATGAGGCTGATTTTTGGGTTCAAGTTCATAATGTTCCCTATAGCCTAGTTAATTTAGGTACTGCAAGGAGATAAGGGTGTGCATGAACGTTGATAAATCTTTGAAAAAGGGTACGAATCTGAAAAAAGAAGGAAAGAGTTTTTGGGTGGACTTCAAGAATGAGAGGTTGCCCAATTTCTGCTTCATATGCGGCTTAATTGGGCATTCAAATAAGTTTTGTCCTGTGAACTATGAAGAAGATCTAGTATTAGAGAAGAACTTTGGGGTCATCTTAGGGCAGGGAGCGTGGTGAAGACTAGCCCAACAGGAGGTGGCAGGTGGATACTGGAGGGTTCATCGAGCTCTGGCGGGAAGGGTGAAGGGGGGAAAGAATCTGTATCTGAATCAGCACAGAGTATAACTAAAGGAGTGGGAGCGGAAACAAAGGAGGAAACTTCGAGGGATCAGAAGAGAAGAAGGATTTGGGGAAACCAGGGCGGAGACAAGATTGAGGAAGATGGCATGGCTCTAGAGTCTAGATGGGACAAAAAACGGGGAAGGGGCGGTCTTTGATTAGTAAGCCCGCCGCAGCTGATTCAACATGAAGGGGTGAAGAACATTCAGGTGCTCGTGCGGATTGGCAGGCTCGGACAGAGTTTCAAGTTTATTTGGTTTTTTATTTTTCCGTAGTGACAATTTATTTTGTTGTGTGGTTTTTTAAGGAGAAATTGTGCTAAATAGGACTTTAACTTTCCGTATATACTTAAATAGGACCTTCACTTTTTTTACTCCTAAATAAGACCTATTTTTTTCCGTGTTCCAGGTTTGCCCCTGAATCTATTAAGCCTTATTCCCGTTCTTTCTCTGTCGACAAAAGCAAACCTGACCTAGCAGCGGCTCCTTGGCGGAACAGCAGAGGTGGGGCGCAGATGCCGAATACGATGAGTCAGCGGCTTCAGGTGAGTCGATCAGTTACGCTGTACGACATCAGCGACGGTGGACGGCGGCAGATATCCCTTCTTCTTCTTCTTCTTCTTCTTCTTCCTCCTCCTCCTCCTCCTCCCCCTCCTCCTCCTCCTCCTCCTCTCCCCTTCTCTTGTGTCGATCTAGCAGTTTTTCTTCGGCCGATCTCAGATCTGGTTGATAGCCTCTCCTTTTGCTTTTGGAGGCTGCCTCTCTCTTTTTATGGAATACTCCATATAAGTTATACGTAGTACATTACACAACTTTTGACTTTTTTGTTTTTTCTTGACCTTTATGTTATTTTTAGTTTGTTTTGTTTAAGTTTTATATTAAATACAGTAAAAAAAAATTATATTAATTGCTTCTTCGTTGTTGTTTTTGATTCCTTTTAGCCATTACATTATTTTTGTATCATTTATATTATATTTTAAGAGTCAAGAGAAAATAAACATAAAGTATAAATGTGAATTGACTTTGTATATAAACATAAAGTATGTTATATTTTATGAATGTGAATTGACTTTTTGGTGCAAACGTTGCATCTGCTGAAAATAAAAATGTCATTAGTTTTAACAATGTCATTTTCATAATGATTACATTATTATGACATTGTCATTGACATTCTTATGACATTATCATTGACATTTTTGTAACATTTTTATAACATTCTTATGACATTGTCATTGACATTGTCATCGTGATTAATTGGCATTATAATACTTTTCGACATTGTCACTTTTTTTATATAAAATTGACATTGTCATAATAGTTATTGACGTTGTCATAATTACAATATCATTTTATAGGATCGACAATGACATTGTCATTGTGACATTTCTTTACCCGGTGACATTTTTATGACATTCTTTTGACTTTTTTTATGAAATTAACATTGTCATTATTTTTATTGACATTGTCATAACTACAATGTCATTTTATAGCATCGACAATGACATTGTCATTGTGATATTTTCTTAACCCAATACATTTTTATACATTTTTATGACATTATCATTGGCATTGTCATTGTGTTAAGATATGTCAGGTCAACCCGAATTCATTTTGATTCCACATTTTAACAAATCCAACTCAAAATAGCACTTATAAAAACGTTTGCAACTCATATTAACAATCCAGGATAGCCCATAGCAACTCCAGATTCTCCCAAAGCATCATCAGAATGTCAAAAAAATATTACAATGTCAAATAATACGAAGTATAAATGTCAATGCTACAAAAATTACATTGTAAGAATGACAATGACAATGCCAATACTGCCAAAAATGACATTATTGTATTAATTATAATGCCAACATCATTATTTGAATAAAAAATAGTGGCAATCTTTATGGATTGATCACCTTGGCAGTACAAAGCCAACATTACAAGGGTAATAGCTAAAATGATTATTGAGCTAATAATAGAAAGGACTCTGCCTAGCCCAAAAACAAAGTAGTCTGCAATTAACATTAAAATTAAACAAAATAGGAGTGTTACAATTTTGAAAAGAAATTAGGAAATACGAAGTAGAAAGCAACATTCGTAAAAAAAAAGTAGAAAGAATATTGAGAAGCAAAAGAACGAATCTGCAATCGAGGCCAAACAAAAACACGAAGAAAGACGAATCGTGGCCAAAGAAAAACATGAAGAAGACGAATCGTGGCCAAACAAAAACATGAAGAAGACGCAAGAAACAAAACAAAAATAACATCCACGGATCTGCAAAAGAATGGCGACAGATTAAACGAGGAGAGAGGAAGAGAGGAAGAGAGGAAGATAGGAGGAGGAGGAGGCTACTCGCCCTTCCGTTAGCAGCCGCTCCGATGATGGCTCGCACCTGCGATAACTCCGGAAGGCGGCGACCGGCAGCAAGCAGCGGCGAGCGGCAGTGGACATACTTGACCTGCGACCGGCTAGAACAATCTCTCCGTTGATAAATCTGGTGGTCATGGCCGGCTTGGGAAGATCGAATAGATGGGGATGACTGCCTGTTCCAAATACGAAACTTCCTGAAAGTGGGATAAGCAAGGGTGTTTTTGTCACTCCATTTAAAATTAGTCCTATTCAGGGGTTTAAAAGTTCTAACTCATATTTACATTCCGAACCTATCTTTTAGTCTTATTGAGATCTATTTCCCTTTTTAAGTTGTTGCTATTCCTTTTTGTAAGACGATTGATTTGGATGCGAGTGATAAGAGGATTGCGATAACCGTCTTTGGCTCATTTGTGCCCATTAATGGATCAACGAATTATTTTGCTTCTTTGGAGGTGAGTAATTCTGAGTCTGGTTCGTGGAATGACGGTTGTTAGGAATCTTTTTGCCAGATCACCTACTATCTGAATGATGTGTTATCAATTTAAGCATATTTCTTACATTATTTTAACTCTCTGTTGGGGTATTGGATCCCGGCCTCCTATAATCTCGGAAGCCCAACACATTATCCTCGTATGAGGCCTAATTACTGAGGTCCATTTCGGCCCATCTAACCTATTTCAGCCCATTCAATCCATTTCGGTCCATTCGACTCATTAGGGTAGCTTTTGCACTATCTCCCCATTTCTCCATTTATAGGAGGTTTTCCCCATTTTAGGGATCTTCTCTTCTTCTCCACTACACTCCTCTCTAGAATAGCTCGGAGCTCCATTAAAGGCTCCCAGAGCTTGATACTTGTACAATGTAAATGGTGAAGAGAGATTAATAAAAAGAGAGTAGCTTGGACATTAGCCCAAAAAGTTTTGTGCTTTTCTTCCTTTCGAATTTCCACATAAATTCGAAATAGCTTGGAGAGTAGCTTGTTCATGCATATTTATATTTATTTGTACTGTTCGTATTGGAATTAGTTTCAACACTCTCATATTAGCCTAAAACATCACAAAAGGATAAATTTAAAAGTATTAAGCAGTGTTATGCAACTGATAAATAAATAAAGTTATATTGGAATTAGAGATGAATTAAACTCAAAACATTGCATATTGTATGAATAAAAAACAAGAAAATATATATAGTTTACAGAAACCTAATATAAAATTCGTATTTCTCATTTGGCATTTGCGGATGACTCAAGAGAATATCATTAAGCTTAATGATATTCTTAAATGGGTCGTCTAAATCTGTCCAGAATTTCAATGATTTTTTGACTCTATACCAACAGGCCTCAGGTCAACTGGTTAATAAGGATAAGTCTTGCTTTGTTGCGGGAAAGCATATCACATTAGCTAGAACTCTTCAGTTGGAAAACATCCTGGGAATGAAGGTATCTAGGAGTCCAAATACACAAGGGAATCACAAGGGTGGATCATTGTAAAGACCTCCTAGAAATGTTTGACAAAAAGCAGCTCTCGGTTTGGAATAAAAAGTGGTTGTCTCAAGGTGGCAGGCTGGTTTTAATTAAGCATGTGATTATTCTATTCCCCTACATACTCTGGCAGTTACTAGTATTCCCAACTCAGTTCAAAATATGATTAAGAAAAGGGTGGCTGACTTCTTTTGGGGAAGTAAAAATCATGTCCCTAAACACCATTGGATTAAATTCAAGGATATTTGTAAGCCCATTGAATGTGGTGGTGTGGGTATTAGATCTATATGTGATGTTCAAAAACTCACAGCTCTGAAACTCTGGTGGGAGTTCCTGCAAGGGAGTTCCATGTGGGCAGACCTAATGAGAAGTAGATATGGTAGGAGAGCCCCAGGGGAGGTCGAAAATACTTATTCTCAAGCTTGGAGAAGGATCAGTTTCATTTCAAAAGAGGCTGATAATATGGTGGTTAGGGGCTCTCAGTCAGTTGTCTGGAAGCATACTCCAGATGGAAAGTTTACAACTCAATCAGCCTACAAAGCTTTATGGAATCAAGGGGGCAGGACTTTATCAACAAATAGTATACGGAACCCTAAACAGGTATCAAAGGTTCGTATTTTTCAATGTAATATTTTATTCCTTCCGCCCCGCTAAGATTATCGTAGTTTCTATTTACTCTTAATCTCTTACTTTATATATCAATTTTTAATCAAACTTATTCAGGTTTTTGCGACTTTGTAAAGCTTTTAATGTAGTTTCTAAATATGTATTTTTTTCTTCTAAAAATAATTTGAGTATGAACATGGATCTGATTGTTTTATCATCGGTCAAACATTGTAAACCGAATTGTCTCATTCTTAGTGGGATGGAGGTAGTATTATAGTATAAAAATGCCCATCATTGGAATTTGTATCATCATCCTCAACCTGCTCCTTCCATCCCAGGGAGTTCAATGAATTCAAATTTTCTAAAGAGCCCGACCACCTAATTTCCACCCTCGACCTTTCAAAATTTTGAAAACGCATAGAGAACAATAACTTGTTCGGATGACCTTTTAAGCAATGAACACCATCAATCTTCGCTCCAAGTTTTTGAATGATACTAGTAGTCATGATCTCCATTTCATCATCATCACTATCTCATACTCCGTATATTTTCAAGAATTCATGCCTAAAAATAGAATAGCTATAAACTAGTCAATAATATTATATATATGAACCCATATCCTTTTGTGAAATTTTTATCATCATCGAGCTCATCAAAAATAGCTGTTGGTAAGGGCAAGGCACTATTCACCCATGGGAATGGGAATGGGAATGGGAATGAAGGGTACTTTGGGTTTTTAGTGGTAATGTTACCTATGCAACCATACTCAAAATTTTAATTATTTTCAAAAAACGAAAAAATAGTTAGAAGCTCATATATATCAGCTTCAATAATAAAGTGCTTAATCTAAGAAGAAAAAAACATTTCTTTTTCAAAAGATAACTTAATTCATATTAAAAAAAAGAATTAGATATAAAATCATCATATATATCAAAGACTAAATTGGGGTGACACTAAACTATAAGCTATCCATATGTAATATAAACTCAAGTAGGCTTGGTTTGGTCCTCCTACTTTGTACTTACTTCACATTATAATAAGAAGGTGGGGTGTTCCCTGGCCCCCACCCCAAACCCTCTTGAGGGTTAGGAGTTTCACCAGGTAAAAAAAAGGGATGAGACTCGGAGTTGTAGTCACTCATAAGAGCGGCCCAACTCGCTAATCCCGCAATGTGGTAGACTCCACTTATAGCAATGTTGCACCTACTACTAGAAGGAAAATTAAAATAAAAACAACAACATAATCCAAGCATCTCGGTTTCACCCGCCACCAAGAAAGGAGAAGAGGTTTGTCCATCCACCTTCAAAAGAAGCATCCCGATTTTACCAGCAATCAGAAAGGGAGAAGAGGTTTGTTTATCCACCTCCAAAGAAATCATCTAGTGTACGGGTCATGTCAGTATTTTAGGTTGTGTTGTTCCGGGAGCACCGCCGCATTGCCAATTCTTGTTCCCTCGCCATCAACCTCCTCGAATGACCTCCTTTCATAAGTTTGATTTAAGCTCTCCATTAACGGCCAACAAAACGATTGTCAGATCTAAGACAAAGAAAAGAAGCAGTGAGACTCACGACCAAAAGTGCAAACACATTCACAATTGAAACGGGCCAAACCCTCGGCCAGAGAAAATTTAGCCGAACAAACAACCCTCAGCCTACAAGGGGTTGAGTTTGGGCCGCGAGGATTGATTTCCGGCGTCGACATAGTTTTGGGAAGCTTCGTCTTCAGCTTTTGGCGAGCTACAAGGGGACCGACGCTTCGGGAAAGACCACTTGGTAAGCACCTCTGCAGCAGAGCTTCGTGGTAGCGTTTTGTAGCAGAGCTTTGTTTTTTAGTATTGCAAATCCGTAGCAGAGGACAGATTGTTGAGCAATGAAACAAGGGATGTGGAGGCTGCTCGCTTTCGGACTGGTTGTGATCGTGCAATATTTTGGCCAAGAGAGGGAGGCGACTTACGGGCAGATCAAAGTGATGAAGGAAGAAGATGAAGTGATGAAAATTCGTCCCCCTCCTGAACCACCGTCATGGAGGAATTGTGCAGACTAGGGTTTGGACTGCTTCACTTTTTCTAGTTTTTTTTATTTTCAATCCAGGCTGTTTTACTATTTCTATTTTGTTCTTTCTTTGACAAACAATAAGGGGGTAGTTTGGTGTTTTGGTTTGTTTTAGTTGATAGATTACTGTTTGGAAGCAATCAGGCTGATTCAGCCGATAATAGCATCTATGCTCTCACAATTTCAGCGATTAGTCTCGCTCTTCCTGGAGTGGACTATTCTATGTCTGATCATGACGTGAGAGGGCCGCTGAGATTTGGTTTTGGATGGATAGCAAGGGAGTTGGGTCTTGAAATATTGTTATTGTTTCGGATCATTTGATTTAATATAAGCTTGTTTCCTTTCAAAAAAAAACTCACGGAAACACTTCCTAAATCATAAAAAAGTCATGTTTTGTACGTCTTACACCCTAGTCAGGAAACTAAAAGTAAGCAAGATTTACTAAATCAAATCAAAGCTCTTATTTGGATCTCTAGAAATAAAATATAGAATTTGCTCTAGGTAGGACTAAAAATTCTCTAAAATGCACAAATAGGACTACTACGTTTTAAACCCCCTCAAATAGGACTAAACATTGATTTCTACCCCAAAATACACCTAAGGGTATTAATTCATAATGAAATGTTTTAATTCATAACAAAATCTTTAAAAAATATTAAAAAATCGTAAAAAATATTAAAAATTCGTAAAATAATACCTTGCCCACTGCCTTCCAGCACCACCACATCCTATCAGTGAAAATTCTGTCTTTCTTTGTAAAAAATGCCATTTTTTAAAAAATACCAAAAAATGGCATTATTACTCTTCATAATGTCAAAATTCTCATTATTATGGCATTACTAAAAATGTTGGCAGATTTCCAACCGGTGATGGGAGCTGGTGGTGCTGGGGATGCCAGAGGTGGCGTCGTGTTTTTTTAACGTTTGTTTTTTTAATTTTTTTTTAATTTATAAACATTGTATGATTTTTTTTATTTTTTTACGTGTTTTATTATTATTTTACATTTTTATTGTTTTTATGATTTTATTATCAATTAAGACATTTCAAACGCTACAAGGGTATATTTATTCAAACACACATAAATAGTCCTATTGGGGGAATTTAAAAAATGTAGTCCTATTTGTGCTTTTTGGCCACTTTTTTGTCCTTATCAGGTAATTCATTCATAAAAATAGTAATCATGTTCTGATTTTAAACTAACGACATGGAAAAGCACGCATGGTCATATTAATACAAGAAACTATGCTTCCATGCTTCCTCGATAAATCGGTGAGTGATTTGACTCGATGATTTTACGGATTTAACAAAAAAAAGCTAAAGTATGAAGTTATTAAAATGTTTTATTCCCATTATATGATCAAAAATGCTATAGGTACCCCAAGTTTACCCCATTTCCTACCCCATATAAATACCCCATTTTTTTACCATCCTTTTTACTCCTTTCCAAAAAATACTTTTCTCTCACCTCTCTCACATCTCCCCAGCCCACTCCTCAACTTTCCGCCAAAACACCTCTCCTCCTTCAAAACTTGCTACAGTGCTCAACCCATCCTCTGACCTGCTTCTTTCTTTCATCTTCTTGGATGGATATATGGGGAAGGAAGTATCCGAGTTCAGCGATGGGTTGTTTTGGATGGCTTGACATGGGAAGATGAAGGTCACAAGCTTGATGACGTGGGTGAAGGTGGAAATCTACCATCTCCGGTCGCTGTTGAAGTAGCGACGACTTCAAGGAAAGAAGATGATGAAGGTGTGGACGTTGAAGTCTTGGAGAAGAGTATGTTGTTTTTCGTCATTTGTTTGTATTTTGTTTGGCGGACAGACATTTTGGAACTGCAGTGTCTGTCTAGCCTAAAGTGAAAGCAGTTTCATAGTTGTTTGAAGTGAACATGGTTTTATATGAGTTAGAGTCGTACATAAAATGTGTGTGAGCAGACAACTTTTATGTATGATATAAAAGTGAATAATTGATTAGTTTGTTTCATTGTAATGATTTTGAGGTGTTAATTAATTAAAATTTTAGTGTAATTTCTCTAATTCATTTTATGCCCATAACATGTTTGTAGAAATTACTCAATGAAGTTTTTGTTGAAATTCAAGACTTTTTTCCATTCTTTCCTTGATCTTCTTGGATGGATATCATGGGAAAGGAAGTATCCCACTTTAGTGATGAGGTTCTTTTGGATGGCTTGACATGGGGAGATGAAGGTGACAAGGTTGATTAACTACTCTTTTTCTTACAGCCAGACAAATTTTGTCTGGGCCAGACATTAGTAGTCTGTGCCAATTAACTACTCTCTGTCTTACAGCCAGACAAATTTTGTCTGGGCCAGACATTAGTAGTCTGTGCCAATTAACTACTCTCTGTCTTACAGCCAGACAAATTTTGTCTGGGCCAGACATTAGTAGTCTGGGCCAATTAACTACTCTCTGTCTCACGGCCCGATAAAAGTTGGTTGTGCCAGACAATAGATGTCTCTTCCAGACAAATTGACTATGCCTCACATATGTTATTTGTACCAAATATGTGTTCTGACTATGTGTTGTGTATTAATCGTAGGTTGAACAATGTGTTGAGAAAATGTGTTGAGTATTGTACAATGTTACATGTTCAATGTTGAACAATTGGATTCAGTTTTTTGAACATGTGTAAGTTTTTGCAAACATTACATGTACAATCATCCACTTATGTATGTTGACCTTTTGTTTGTCTGGGTATCTGCGGTATGGTCTGTACTCACCCCGACGAGGAGTTTACAAATTGGGGTGAGGACAGCTTTATAGTATTTAGTAATTAATTTCTTAAAGTACAAATTGGGGTGAGGACAACTTTAACACCTCAAAAAAGTCTGCACTTCTTAAACTCCTCGTCGGGTAAATTTTTTGGGGTGAGGACAGGTTTATAGTACTTTGTAAGCTTTTTGTTTGTCTCAAGGGGTGAGGACAAACAAAAAGCTTACAAAGTACAGACCATACCGCAGCAAGTCTCAAGGGGATGATCTGTAGCATACCGCAGGAGGAGTTTAAGAGCGACAAAAAGTTGTCCTCACCCCTTGACCCACCCCCACGAACCAACCAACCTCACACTTGGTTTCAAGCTCTGAGGCAGTGAAGAGGCAGTTCCCGTCCGACTGCACCTCCCCAAACGAGGTTGATGACGAAGGTGAGATGGTCTTGAAAGACTTGAGATGGTCCTTTTTCCTCATTTTTTGGTATTTTTTTCGTCCAACTCCACATGAAAAACGGTTGTGTGTCTGACAGACAAATTTGAATTGCAGCGTTTGTCTAGCTAAGCATTGTTTCACAATTGGTAGAGTCTTACACAAGATGTCTGTCCGGACAGACAAATTTATTTGTTTGAGTGTATGTATGCACATTGACGTGCATTTTGTCGTGTGTGCACTCAAAATAAATTCAATACTAACACTTATACGTAGTATAGCGTAGTAGAGTTCGTATCCACAGGGAAAGGAATAATTCTCTTTTTAGTAAAACTAGTAAATAAAAGGGGGGTTTAGGATTGAATGATTTAATTTAATTAAACACAAAGATGAACAACTTATATGTGATTTAATTCAAAGATAAAAAGGACTTGGCATTGCTGCTTTCCACTTGTTGATATATTTTAGTCGATCATTGTTATATCTATAACTTATTTCCTCTCGAATACTCAATCGAGGAGTATATCCAATTCATCGAGGGTAGTTATTAACAACGACCGTTCATTAATAACCCTTACTATTAGTCAAGTATAGAACACCGCCATATACTGACTTGATAGTAGCATTTAATCTCTGACTCTTTGATGAAATCAATTGAGATTGATAACCTCAACACAACGGTTTCGGTTTAACCAACAAAATTAATCCCTCTTAAGTTTATTAACCACGACCGTGCATTAATAAACCGAAGTTACTTACTTGTGAAACCATCAACGATTAACCATCGGTTCGTTGATCGTTTCTAGTAATAATTAATATATGAAACAAAACTAGTTGATCCTTTAAGTAATGTTCAAAATATTAATATGAAATATGAATAGGAATTAATTAATACTCAAGGAAGAATATTAAAGAAAATGAATCCTACTATAGTTAATATCAAGATGTTAACTAATTGTCATCTTAGTAACACTCCCCAATATTAACATAGAGGAAGGAATAGCTATTACTAAGACCAATGTTAAGATGTTAACTAATTGTCATCTTAGTAACACTCCCCAGCATTGATATAGAAATAGTATTTAAAGGAAGAATTAATATTCAAGGAAAGAAGTTAAGAAAATAACTCACAACTTTAATAATCAACAAGCTTCAAGAGCAACACCAAGAAATGGAAGTTTAGCTCCTCATTTGGAGACTAAACATACTATAAAAATATAAAAGAAATACTATTCTAAACTGAGCTTAAGAGTATGGAAGAAGGGATTCATCAAAAGTGAAGGAAAATGGGGCTATTTATAAGTGTTTTCAACACCCTGGGGCATTTACCCGCCCGGGTCAAGTGCCCACCCGACCGGGTAAATGTCAAAATCAAATATTTCCCACGTTCTGGAGATCTTCGGCATGTTCTGGTGTTCCGGGTCACATCTGACCCGCCCGGGTCAAATAAGTGACCCGCCCGGGTCTAGTGACTTTCTCAGCAGTTTCTGATTCTTTGTCATGCCCGACCGGGTGGAGTATTGTACCCGGTCGGGTTTTTGCTTCTGGGCAGCCAAATCTTATTTTTCTTAACTTCAAAGTCCTCCTTTTCAACACCTTAATTCCTAACTCTACTTTACAACTTACAAATGAAGATTAAAATACAATTACAACTAAAATCACACAAATGTTTACAAACTAAATAAAACGGTAAACAAACCACACAAATCAAACATAAAAACATACACTTATGCACTACTAATTAGTGCATATCAAACACCCCCACACTTGAACCTTTACTCGTCTCGAGTAAACCAAATCATGTCCAAGAAGTTCTTAAATGACAAGAGTATCAACTCAAACATCTAAGTGTGTATTTAGAACAATACAAAAGTATCCCCAAAAATATAAGAGTAAAGAGGGATCTTCAACTCCATATTTTCTATCAACCTCAATTCTTTTTTTTTTTCGTTACCCTTAGGATCCTGCAAAAAGAAAATACTTTCTCTCATTCTCTCATTTTGCCTAGGTGCCCTTTCGGGTTTTCATCCTAGCTTCCCAATTTTTTCTTTTTTTCTTTTTTCTTTTTTCTTTTTAATCCTCACAACTCACTCTTATTTTTGCTTTAGTTTTGCTTAAGTTGCCTTTTCAGGTTTTCAACTTAACAAGCTCTTTTTTTTTTGCTTTATTATTATTTTTTTTGAACAAGAATGAAATGTGAGTATTCCATGAAACTCTCCCCCCAAGCTAATCAAAGCACTGTCCCTAGTGCTTGTGTCCGAGATGAATGCATTTTTTTTTGGGTACTTTTGGGAGGTTTTGTTGGTGATTTGTGGGTGTGGAGATGAAGAGGGTGAAGAGGAGATGAATGAATTGGGTTTACTTGATGCATTTGGTGGATGGATGTAGGAGATATGAAGCTTTGGACTCTTGGAAATGGAGGAAATTTGGGGTTTGGTTCGAATGGGGAAAAGAAAGTGAGGAAGAAAGCTGCCCGCCCGCCTCCTGATCGGGATTTTTCCCGACCGCCCGGCCGGGTATAGTGACTGACCCGGTCGGGCGTAAACTGTTCACCCGAGGCAGAGAGTTTTTTGCAGGGTTGCCCGGCCGGGTATAGGGGTCTACCCGGTCGGGTGTGTCTATTTTTCTCTGTTCCTCAGCTGCCTCGCCCGGGCGAGTTGTGCGGGTAGGGTATTTTTACGCTATACCCGACCGGGTGTAGTGTGGTACCCGGCCGGGTATGTTCCCCAGGCTTCACTTTTTTTTTTTTGAAGTGTTAACTTAAACTAGAACAAAAAGTAAACGTACCTTACATGGGTTGCCTCCCAAGAAGCGCCTCATTTAACGTCACGGCACGACGCCATCATTGTGTTCAATCGTTCAAGCTTGGATCATGATAATTAATTTTCTTCAAATTTTCACTCCTAGGACCTCCATAGGAGTGCTCAATTTCTCGACTCTCCACTTTGGAAATCTTTCCAGGATCAAATATCCAGATTTTCATTGATTTATGTGGTGGGAGGAAGGGGAAGAAATTATCATGTAGTATGGTCAATGAAAAGTTTTTCGATCCCTCAATTTTGAAGGAGATTTCGGAAATGTCATTTTCCATTTCAAGTTTACGAGATTCTCTTAAAGCTTCCAGAGATGATGGAGATACCTCAAAGGATGACAATGACAAAAATTTGAATTTGAAGCTCAGCTTATCCTCTTCTTTGACCAGTTGGAGCTCCGTGTCTTTTTCTTCTTCTACTTCTTCTGGATTCTGGATCTCCTTTTGCATCTCCTTTTCATTTGTCAATGTGATTGCAAAAGTTTGCTGTTTAGGATCACATTCTATTTGAGAAGGAAGTTTTTCCGAATCCCTTGCTTCAAGCCTACTCACGGCTCCGGCTATTTGACTCATTTGAGTTTCCAAGTTTAAAATGCTAGACTTGGTCTCATTTTGGAATTGTACCATGTTGTTTTGCATGGTGGTCATGTTGGTAGCAATAGCCCGGACCATATCCTCCGTAGACATGTTAGAGTTGGAGAACGGATCATACCTCATGTGAGGTTCATCCCTTTCGTAACCAACATCATCACCTTGTTTAAGGTATTCATCTTGGAGCTTTGGGCAGAAATCCGTAAGATGTCTGTGAGACATGCAAATGTTGCATGTCTTGGCATCTTGAGCTTTTGGGCTTAAGATAAATTCCTTTATTAGAGAAGTCAAGTCGGAAATTTGACTCTCTAGGGATGATAGTTTGGTATCCATATATTCATGAAAGCTCAGAAATAGAAGAGTAAGATTTTTTTTTTTAAATTTTTGTTGTTTTTATTTTTTATTTTTATGAGATAAAATAAAAAGAAAAATAATTGCCTTTCCCCGGCAACGGCGCAAAATTTGACGTGCACTTTATCGTGTGTGCACTCAAAATAAATTCAATACTAACACTTATACGTAGTATAGCGTAGTAGAGTTCGTATCCACAGGGAAAGGAATAATTCTCTTTTTAGTAAAACTAGTAAATAAAAGGGGGGTTTAGGATTGAATGATTTAATTTAATTAAACACAAAGATGAACAACTTATAT